CCCTTTCCCCTTCCCTTCTCCTCTCCCTTTCCTCCTCCTTTTCCCTTCCTACCCCTTCTTCCCTCCTCCCTCCTTCCCTCTATCCCTCCTCCTCCTCCTCCTTCCCTTTTCCCTCCCCCTCCTCAACCTCCTCCTCCCCTTCCTTCACCCTCCTCAACTTCATCCTCCCCTCTTCCCCCTCTATCCCTCCTCCTCATCCCTCTCCTCCTTCCTCTTCCTCCCCCTGCCCCCCTCCTCTTTCCTCCCCCCTTCCTCCTCCTCCTTCCCTTTTCCTCCCCTACCCCTTCCCTTCCCTTCCCTTCCCCCCTACCCCTCCTCCCTCCTCCCTCCTCCTCATCCTCTCCTCCCCTCCTCTTCCCTTTTTCCTCCCCTACCCCTTCCTCTTCCCCCTCCTCCTTCCCTCTTCCCATTCCCCTCCCCCTTCCCTCTTCCCATTCCCCCTCCTCGCTTTCCCCTCCCCCCTTCCCTTTTTCCTCCCCCTCCTCCCTCCCCCCCCTCCCCCACAGAAAAAGGCCTCGGTCCTCTTCCACTCGAACCCGAAGCTGTGTTACAAGAAGATCAAGGAGCTGCTCGAGCGAACCGGCCGCGTTGAGATGACGGCGGACTGCAACATGAACCTGACCAACGGGAACAAGGCAGCGTGTGAGGGACGCGTTGGTGTTGAGGGGATGGGTTAGGAAAGTGGGAATGGGTTGAGAGAGTGGGAAATAGACTGTTTTTTTGTGGTGTTGGATGCTTATTTTTGTTTTGAGATGTTGGGAAGAGAGAGAGAGAGAGTGAGTGTGTGAGGGACGAGTTGGTGTTGAGGGAATGGGTTGAGAGAGTGGGGAATAGACTGTTTTTTTTGTGGTGTTGGATGGTTATTTTTGTTTTGAGATATTGGGGAAGAGAGAGAGTGAGAGAGAGAGAGAGAATGTGTGTGTGTGTGTGTGTTGTGTGTGTGTGAGTGTGTGAGTGAGTGAGTGAGTGAGTGTGTGTGTGAGTGTGTGAGTGAGTGAGTGAGTGTGGTGTGTGGGGGGGGGGGTGTTGGATGCTTATTCTTGTTATGAAATATTGGGAAAGATTAATTTTATTCTATTTTTTTGTGTGTGTGTTGGATACTTATTCTTGTTTTGAAATATTGGAAAATGATTGTTTTTTGTGGTTGTGGATGATTATTCTTGTTTTATAATATTGGAAAAAAAATTGGGGGGGGGGTGGTCTTGGATGCTTATTCTTGTTTGGTTATTGTTATGAGTGATAATTATTGTTTGTGATTTTTTAAATAGTTTTTTGTGGTGCTGAACTATGATTTTTTTTTAGATTACGTTATTAATAACTGTTAGTGTTTGGGATTTTTTTTTGTGTGTGTATGTTGATGTAATGGATGAAGGCGGTAATATTTTGTTTCACAATAACGTGGATGAATGAATGGTTATTTTTTCAGCGACGTGAATGAATGGTTTTATGTTTTTACTATTATTGTTTTCTATTTTATTTTTCAGTAGTATGTCGGATGAAGGCGATAAATGTTTGTTTCGGAGTGACGTGGATTTTTTTTCTGTCAGTTGGATGAGAATTTTAATTCTAGAATGGAGTAACTGAAAAAATTTCGTTTCGCAGTGACGTGAATGAGAGAGAGAGAGGGAGAGGGCGAGCGAGAGGGAAAAAAAAAAAAAAAAAAAAAAAAAAAAAATATTATATATATATATATAATATATTATATATATATATATATATATATATATATATATTTATATATATATATATTTTATATATATATAATATATATATATATATATATATATATATATATATATATATATATATAGAGAGAGAGAGAGAGAGAGAGAGAGAGAGAGAGAGAGAGAGAGAGAGAGAGATAGGGAGAGCAAGAAAAAGCGAGAACGGGAACGATCAAGCAAGAGAAAGCGAGAGAAAGAAAGAAAAAAAAAGAAAAAAAAGCCACTAACCCCCCCTCCCCCCTTACCGTGCCAGGTATGGACAAGACCCTGGACCTGTACCTGACGCCCCTCGCCCTCAGAGGCACAGTGAACGTCAGCTGGAACACCGTCTTCATCAACGACGACGACAGGATGCTGACGGGGTACTACATCTTCTACAAGGTCGCCTACGAGGAGAACGTCACCTACTTGGATGGCCGGGATGCCTGCCATGAGTAAGTGAGAGGAGAGGAGGAAGAGGAGGGGTAAGAGAAGGAGGTGGAGGAGGAGGAGGAGGAGGAGGAAGAGGGAAAGAGAAGAAGGTGGAGGAGGAAGAGAAGGAGGAGGAGGGGAAAGAGAAGGAGGTGGAGGAGGAGGAGGTAGAGAAGGAAGGAGGAGGAGAAGGAGGAGAAAGAGGGGAAATGGGAGGAAGATGGGGAGGGAGGGGGAGTGGGGCCGGATTTATGAATGAGGTGGCGTGAGTGAGTAGGTAGAAAGGGTGGATTTATGAATGGGGTTGCGTGAGTGAGAGGTTAGGTGAGTGACGAGTTGATGAGTGAGACAGGTAAGTGGGGAGAGAGAGTCGACAGAGAAGCGTGAGTGAATGAGTGAGACAGAGGGAATTGGGAAAATGAGTTAGGAAGAGCGTGAACTGGAAAGATGGACGGATTAAGATGATGAATGAGTTAAAAATCGATGAGTTAATGAGTTGGTGAATTAGAGAGAATGAGTGCGTGAATGAGGTAGAGAGAATGAGTGAAGGGGTAATGTAGAGAGAATGAGTAAAGGAGTAGGTTAATTAGAGAGAATGGATGAGGCACATAAAATGAGTAAGACAGGGCTAGTGAGTGAATAAAGGAGATAGAGATAGTGATTGAGTCAGTGAATAAGTAAGTGATTAAAGAAACAATCCAGGAGAGGAATACAGAAGAGAATGAGAGGACATTTAAAATATTCGCATGAAAACAGACTATGTAACAAATCCATCCTGTAAAAAATAACAGAACATTATGCAATCCCTAACTCTAGACACCACAACTGCAAATTTTATGAACCGGAGAGAATTCCCTTTGGCATCTTGTAGAAACACTGGCTGGGGTCCTGACGAGTTTTGCCAAAATCATTA